GGCAGAAAGAATATCTACGTCAGATATAAGTCCTGTTTTCATCTTGAAGAGGAGACATTTCTTACTTAATGAGTGAAATTCAAGCAGATTCCCAGGACACGATGCACAATATTGCAAGCAATGTTGACACAAGTTTAGATTTAGCTCACCAGGGCCTACAAAGCCCCTCTGGCATGAGCCACTGCAATGGAGACAGATATGACTGTTTCCTATGGCAAAGGGTGGTGTGGGAAGGAACAAGCAAAAGGCATGAGCAGGGCTTGTCCCAAACAATGGGATTCTTTCCTCTTCAATAATTTGCCAGAACAAAAGTTTGTTCCAGAAAGACATCCTCATTTCCAGCGTCCATAGGTTAAGCAAATAAAAAAGGGTGAATTTTAAATCACTTTAACAATACCGACTTTATATTTTGTCAGATGCATAATATTGGCTTTACCAAATGCTTTTAAGTATTGCTTCCAGTCCCCACACACATAGCATAACCACATTAAAAATATCATATGAAATGAGACAAAACAAAAACTGATTTTGCAAATTGGACTTGGGTTAAGGGAAACCGGGGAACAGAGGGTAGGGATGGTCCCCCATTTGAGCAATACAGGTTGAGTCTGTTTTATCTGAAATTCTGAAATCCAAAATATTCCAAAACCCAAAACTTTTTTCATGGGTGTCTGAGATAGTGACACCTTTGCTTTCTGGTGGTTCAGTGTGCACAAACTTTGTTTCATGCACAAAATTATTTTAAAAAATTGTATAAAATGACCATCAGGACTACGTTTTTAAGGTGTATATAAAACATAAATAATTTTTGTGTTTAATGTTGGGTCCCATGTTAAAGATAACTCATTATGCACATATATGCAAATACAGGTATTCCAAAATCCAAAAAAGATTCAAGGCACCTCTGTTCCTAAGTATTTCAGATAAGGGAGACTCAAGCTGCATTACAAATATATTACCAGATTCTAGAGCTGTGTTTATTTATTAGACATTGTTAACAGAAAAAAGTGATGTTTCTAAAGCTTACATGGGATCTCCCTCTTCATGGCATAAATCCCCTTTTGTGTGTGTCTTTCTTTGTGTGTAGGGGGAAATTAGTTGAATGATTCTATCATAAGGCCTCACCCAATTCCGCATCTATGAACAATTCAGCCAAAGCCGGTGACGCTTTCCGTCGGCTCAGACACGCCGGCCCCTCCTAACTCTGCCATCCCCTCTCACCTCTTCTGGCATTTTGTTCAGATGCCTGGGGTATTTTTAATCATCACCAAGCAACAAGAAAACAAAACAGCTAGCAGCGGAAATACTATCCTCGCAAGTGGGGATAGGTTTGGGGAGGAGCACATGGAGAGCAGCTGATTCTGGAGTTGGTGGATCTGCTTGCAACATTCGGTGCCTGAGGTCCCAGACAAAACAGGACGGGACCAGTGTAGATAGAGCTCTGTGAAAATACACGTATGTTTGCACATATGTGTGTGGAGGCAAGAGTGTCCCTTTGCAAAGAGCGCCAGCAGTCAGGCACACACTAGATTTACATGGAAAAGAGCCTGGGTCCACTTGTCAAGAGAAGAAACTAAAGGTTTATGTGGGTTTTTCGGGCTGTGAGGCCGTGTTCTAGAAGAATGTATATTCCTGACGTTTTGCCTGCATCTGTGGCTGGCATCTTCAGAGAATGGTGACATGGAGGTGTGTGGGGTATATATACTGTGTGACCCTTGGTTGAGAGGATTGCATGTGAATATGTGTATTTTTCTGTTCCTCACATATCCTCCCATCCTGAGGCCTTGCCTCAACTGAACAATACACAGATTTACATGCTAATCCTCTCAACCAAGGGTCACACAGTACATATACCCCACACACCTCCATACCACCATTCTCTGAAGATATCAGCCACAGATGCAGGCAAAACATCCTCCATAAATGGTGCCCATACTGTGGGCTTGCAAAAATGGTACCTACTCAGGCATAAGTTACATAGCAAAGGGGTTATGTGTTGGCTCATCTTCTCTGGAACTGCTATTTCATTCTCACATAATTTTGTAGACCATCATCTATTCTTGAACACCCTCCAGAAGCCAAGATGACTAAACTGAGACTGTCATACTTTGGACATACCATGAGAAGACATGACACTAGACATGACACTCTAGAAAAAACAATAATGCTTGAAAAGGCAGCAGGAATAGAGGAAGACTGCATTCCAGGCGGATGAACTCAACCAAGGAAGCCACAGCTGTCCTGAGCCTGCAAGACCTGAGCAGGACTGTTGAGGATAGGGTAACTTGGAGGTCTCTCGTTCATAGGGTCGCCATAAGTCAAAGTAAACTTGATGGCACTTAAAAACAACAAATCGATTCATGCAGTTAATCAGATGAAGATTCAGTGTGGATCTCTTGCATCAAGGTAAATCCAAATTCTATGTGAGGCACCACACTGAACTTTGCATTTATTTGCATTTGCACCTGTTTGCAAAATGTTTCTGCATATCACAGAGCAAGGCAAGGAATTCTGCCCACAAAGGAAACCCTACTAAGTCCTACCTGCCCTTTCACCAGCCCTTGCACATAGATGTGCATAGTTCTCCTGGCAGCCATGAGGACTAGAAACTCGCATTTAGAAAAACAAAAGTTAGTATCACGGTGCTGAATTATGTATGAAATGCCAAATTCTGCACTGATGCATTTGTACGGATCTTCTGCCTGCACGCCCAATTTCAAATCTGTGGCATTGTGTGTATTTTTTTTAAAGTCATAGTATTTTTTAAACACATTACTTGGTCCTGAGCCTCTGGGTTAGGAATGGGAGAGGAAGGTTGAAGAACAGCCCTGCCCACTACCTCCCCTCGCATTGCTGGGTGCCCCCAAGGGTCTCTTACTTCTACTGGGTGAGTTCCAGAGGGTGGCAGAAGATTTGGAGAGGCGCTTGTTGATTATAGAGTCCACATGTTTGGGGAGGTTTACAGCAGAGATGGAGCACCTGCTGGCACCTATGAGAGGGAAAAGACACACGGGCGTTAAGGGCAGTGGGGCAGGAGCTGGTAGACATGCAAGCATGCAGCAGCAGAGGTCATGCAGTGAAGAGGGCAGAGGAAGAGGGAGCTCTTTGCAGGGGAGGAGTGTGCCAGCTTGCACCACCTTTTGCCTTGTCTGCAAGGGCACAAACCCACATACCTGTTTAGGTGCCAGTCCACAGACCAAGGACAGGCTCAGCAACCACACTTGGCTCCAGGCTGTGCCACCAGCTAAGCGCATTGGTTTGTAGTGGTGCATATGCAGTCCACAGGTTTGGGGCATAACTACACCGCACAATTATAGCACCTTCATCTCAAGTTAGCCATCATGGATCCATCCTACACAATTGGACCGCCTTATCCACAGATTCTTTATCCACGGAATCAACCACCCATGGCTTGAATATACTCCAAAAATATAAATTCCAAAAAGCAAAGCTTGACTTTGCCATTTTATGTAAGGGACACAATTTTACGATGCCATTGTATTTAATGGGACTTGAGCATCCATGGATTTTGGTACCCATAGGGGGTCCTAGAACCAAACCCCAGCAGATACCAAGGGCCCACTGTATAATCCTGGGATCTGTAGTTTGGGGAGGCACTTAGCATTCTTCAATGCATTCCCTTGAACAATACTACTGGAGCTCTCTGGCAGAGAATTCTAAGTACCTCAACCAACCTACACATTCTGGGATTCCATAGGACAGTCATGGCAACTAAAGGGGAACCAAAGTGCTATAATTGTACAAGGTGGACACATCCCTGCATAGCCTCAGGATTGCTGTTGCTTCTGAGTAGTGCCACACAATGCCCAGATCAGCCAGCCAGAAGGACCCCTATAATCTTTCTTCTGCATCCATGTGGCAGCAGCAGAAGATGGTGCAAGCATGGATTCAACAGCCCAACTGTACTCAGTTGTAAGATTTTATATCCTCTGTTCTTATATTCACTTTGGAACTGTTTACACTGTCACGCTGAATACAAGATGGAGACCAGACTGTAAGATAGGAAACGGACATCTCCATCTCCAAGTATGTCACTCTTCAGGCTAAGAAAAACCCACAACAAACAGCCATGTGTGCATCTAATTATATTATCTTGTGTATTTTACTATCTATCAGAAGTTACGTTTAAAAAGCAATTGAGTTAATCTTAGTTAGTTAGTTAGTTGCCATTATAGTTAAGTACCAACATTAGTTAGCTGCCACTACAGGTACGATTTTAAAAGTAACTCACAAAATTGAGTGAGTTACTTTCAGTTACTTTAAACAATGTCAATTGTATGCTACAAGCCACGTTTTGGTCTTTGATACAAAATACAGTCAGCTCTCCATATCCGTGGATTCTGCATCTACCGATTCAACCATCCACAGCTTGAAAATATTCACACACACACACACACACACACACACAAATTTCAAAAAGCAAACCTTGATTTTGCCATTTTCTATAAGGGACACACACCATTGTATATAATGGGACTTTGGTATCCGTGGATTTTGGTATCCAAGGGGGGTCCTGGAACCAAACCCCAGCATATACCAAGGGCCCACTGTACATTGTGTTCCCATCCATCGGTTTGTCAACTCAACACCCACAACAAAAGAGAAACCAGCAACATAAGCCTATACTTGTACTTGGTATTCCTCCTCCCCTTTTAAAGAGTCCACACCCCTGTAAGATTTCTTCCATATTACACAACTTTACCACTTTGATGCCACTTTAAATTCTATGGTTCCATCCTATGGAATTCTGAAATTTGTAGTTTCTTGAGCAGTTTAGAATTCTCTATCACACTACAAATCCCAGGATTCCACAGGATACAGCCATGGCAGTTAAAGTGGAGTCATAGTGCTATAAGAAAGTCTAAAAGTAACTTAACAAAGTTGTAGCCACATCACAAAAGGAGGGAAGCCATTCCTCATTGTGTAACTTAGTCATGCCTTTGTTATTGCAAAAAAAGGAATTGATTGTAAGTAAGAGCTCCAGCATGGTGTAGTGGTTTGAGTGTTGGACTTTGACTCTGGAGATCAGGGTTCGATTCCTTACTTGGACATGAAACCCATTGGGTGACCTTGGATAAGTCACACTTTCTCAGCCTCAGGGGAAAGCAATGGCAAACCTCCTCTGAACAAACCTTGCCAAGAAAAATCCATGATAGGGTCACTTTAAGGTTGCCATTAGTCAGAAATGACTTGGAGACACACAATAACATCATCTATAAGAGCCAGTGTGGTGTAGTGGTTTGAATATTGGGGTTTTCTGGCCAAGAAAACCCCATGATACAGTTGCCTTAGTGTCACTGTAAGTCAGAAATGGCTTGAAAGCACACAACAACACAAATAGCTGTGCATAACTAACCATTTCCAAAGATTGCTTGCTTTTTTGGTTGGATAGTCTGTGTTGCCTCTGCAAGATTCTTCCATGCAAATCCATGAGGTTAAACTGTATTGTGGCATTTCCCCCTTGGAGTAACAAGACATTGAATGCTGTGGCTTAGCAGCCTTCACAGCCATGTTGAATGCAAACCCTGCAAGGAGGGAGTGCAGCTGGTGCATGCATCGCAGAGAAGAATGTGGCCACAGGGCATGAACCCACTTTTTATGGGTTCATGGAAAGTGTGCAGAAGGCCACGAGAGCAATTTAGAGAGCAGCTGGCACTTGCAACATCAGTGTGTCCGTTTGGAGGAAAAAAGAAGGAAAATGGATGGAGAGGGTGCAGGAATCCATCTATTCAAGGCCCTGGCAACTTAAAGCAGGCATCCTGGATGGTTGCAGGGGGAGATTTGGGGTAGACAGATGAGTCACATGAGGTCAACATCTGTGCACTATACGGAGATGTTTCAGGGTACCAAAAAGCCAGTGTGATGTAGCGCTTAGTGTCTTGGACTAGGCTGGGACTTGAGAGACGTGGGTTCCCTATTGAGCCATAAAACTTGTTGGGTGGTCTTGAGTTTTTCACTTTCCCTTAGACTGACCTACCTTGGAGGGTTGTTGTGAAGATAAACGTGGAAAGGAGGCCTCCTGGAGCTCATGGGAGGAAAGATGGGACAGGAACATAACACATGAGTTCATTCATAAAGTGTCCCATGCTGTGTAGCTGCAGAATGCGACTGAGAAGCCTTCTTCTTCAACTAGGCACCCCACCCAGATATGATGGACTACAGCTCCCACCATCCCCAGCCAGCATGACCAATATCCCCAGCCATTATGACCAATCTACTTGAGTTCTCAACAGACCACCATGCGATTTAGCAAAATAGTAGATTTGGATAAGCAGAGGGAACTTGGGTTCAAAGCCCTCTTCAGCCAGCTACAGAAGCAGGTAAAGAAATAATAATGCTAAAGGAAGGGCTTTAAACATATACAGAGTGTCCTTTGACAGCTATTGAAACCACCCACTACTTGACTTTTATTCATTTATGACAAAAGGGAAGAGTGATCAGGTTGAAATGCAAGGTTTTCTCAGTAGACTTGAACATTAGCACCAATCGCTCTTCAGAAGTTTATTATTACTTATCTATTTTGAAAAGAGAGCCAGTGTAGTGCAATG